AAAATATACTGACTTACTATAATTTAGGTCTACTTACATCCTAGAAAACCTGATACTTGCAAGCATAAAATAAACGTGGATCCGGGATAAACAATCCAATTTGAAGGATGCGGATAATCTATCTATTTACGACGTATATAGGAGTTCTACAGTGAAATACAACTTTATATAAACATTTATTATCTTCTCGTGTCTTCTGTTGCCAACTTTTGCACAAACTTCGAGGTGGAATTGTTACAGGGAGTGTGGGACATCTAATAACTCAATAATACCTGAATATATCTCAGTTCTGTCCCACCAGCCACTCCCCCTCTCTTTGTCCCCTACCCCTTTCGGCACTGGAATTTTTTTTATTCCGTACACATTGCATGACACTTTGACAAGCAGAAAAACCTTTAAAGATTACAACTGCTAAATGGGAGGCAAGCTGGGTTACTATAAGAACACAAATGATTCTTAATTCATTTTGTGAAATTTTGATCTTTTTGGTAAGTTTATATTTGAAAATTCATTGTGGTCTATAAAAATTTAACTGTGGTCTGTATGAATTTTATTGTGGCCTGTAGCATTGGGATATTAACTATTTTTTTGGTCTGTATGCTACTGTTCGCTTTGCTTGTTACAAAAACAGAACACAAGAAATGGTAAAAATGTGAAAAGTTTGGATGTCATATTAGATGAGTGAACTGAAATTGTGAAGTTGATGTAGGCCTATAATGGGGTAAGCCAGAAGTAGAGCAGTCATGTCGATTGACCTAGATTTAGAAGGTCAAGGACGTTTGCCAGGTATAGGATGAAATTATTGACAAACCTGAAAGATTTTGTCGAATATTTGATATATATTTGAACTAACAGTAAAATTCAAAGGATATTTGTTCTTGAAGAAAATGCCATATATTGTAAGTAATGTTTTGAAGTTTGAAATTTAGCTGAAATGTCGTATAAATGCTTGAAAATGACTAAACACAGTGATGTAATAGTAATATTGGTTCTCTTATGTTTTATGCCAATTATATGGAAAACCTTTTTCTCCAAAAGGTTTTTTTTACCGGTATTGGCACTTTTATTTTTATAAAATCTTAAAGCATCATGTTATACATTGATATGTATATTGTAATCCAGGTCATACATTTAGTCTATTTACGTTTTCGATTCCTAAAAAATTAACAGTTTTACCGATTTTGATTAGGTCTAAAACAACATAAAAGGAAGATCTATTAATTAAATCCTGCTGTTATCTTGAATTAAAAAAAAAAAACTATTATTCTGTCAGTTTTCATAAAACACATTATGTTGGTGAATGATATCAAACATTAAGGCCAAGTTGCTAAATCATAACATTACTGTACCTACTAAATTAACACCTAGTCTAGAGACATAATAAATTTCTGGCTGGTATTCTTTTTTTAATGGACATATAAAATATTTGTTTATCAGTACATGCACACTTAGAACAGTAAGACTATTGTACCAGTTTGTTGTATTTTTGTCTTTGTTGGATTTATGTTTGTCTTGCTCTGATTTATTTGAATAGTGTACCTATATTACAATGTATTAAAATTTGAAAGTGGGTCAGAAAGAATTTGCATATCTAGTTCATGTTGAATATGGTGTCCCCTGTTAAGCTTAAGAATCAGTTGTGTTTTTGTCAGAAATAACTTACAGATAGTTTGCAGCTGTCTAAGTTAGTAAGTTTGAAACTGTACCAAGTATGCTTTGAGACCTTTTATATAATGCCTCAGTACAAATAAGATTATGTATAAAATACAATGCTTTTAATTTTACTCCATGTGACTAGTTGTCTTGATGAAGATTGTATATTTGAAGTGCATGAACAGTTGGCAGCATATGATGAGCATTAGCCTATTATTTTTGGAACAGTAGAGGTAACACTTTTTGTTGAAACTGGTACACCGGTACCTGTAACCAGTACAAAACTATATTTAAGTTCTCTAAAACCCAATAAATGTGAATCAGCCAAACAAAACAAAAGTCTTAGATTATTCAAGTTGGCAGTGCTCTTGGGGAGAAAGTCATAGTCAACAATCAATTAGTTTTATAAACCTAAACTCCTCTGTCAATTCACACAACCAACTTTGTGTCTGATCTGGTACCCAGGTAAAGCCTGTAGTTTGGAATGACCATCAACCACTTCACACGGCTACAAAAGGCCTTTTGCCATCATTGCTTAAAAGGATTGTAAAGAGATTTTAAAAATGTTCATGTGTATCAATAGCACAATTCAAATTTTCTGTGTCTAAAGATGTGTGATACACATAAAAAGTTTAGAAAACCTCTTTAAATTCCCCTTGTATAAGCATAGACAAAATCTTTCACAACCTTATGTCACTGATTGTGTTTGTTGCTTCTGCATTCCATATGCATGATATTATTTTAGTATTCATATGTGACAGTGTTTTTTTTTAAAGAGGATACAAGTACAAGTTATTGAGTGGATGTAAACAAGGTTGAATACAAGTTAGGAATGTAATATCTATAATTAGTTAAGTCATTTAAGGACAGACGGAATTATGTAAAAAAGATATTTGCGTCAAATTTTTTATTTTTATATTGTATATTATCGTACATAATATCATTACACTTTGTTTAACACTACAAACAGCCATCCATGAGATTAAAATTATATGTTCATTGTACCATTAAAGTTAATTTACAATTGTTATTCATATACTTCTATCATCCCTATTTTGTATGATATTAAAACATATTTTAGCATATTTTAACGCCATAAGCTTTTAGCTTATTATGAGAGACTAAAGCTATGTTAAACAGGTCACAGAGTTGAGTTATTCTAAAAACAGGAGACCATTGGATACATAAAGGCAATAATTAGTCATTATTAACCTAGTCTGCGATATCAGTCACACAAAAGCCAATCTGATTAGATTACAAGGTTTTTTTCTGATGTGTTCAGTTTGCATTGTAATCTAATCAGTTTTCTTCTGCAGTTCCATTTTAAAAATTCTTAAAAATATTAGAAAAAAACAATGAATTGAAATATAATTTAGTTAGATTGTGAAGAGTGGATACATATTAGCTTGCCTTGTACTAACAAACCTGCCATTGTCTGAGATATCAGTTAGATGGAAGTTGACTTGTCATCAACCAAAAACCATTCATAGTGATGCAGTCTGTGGAAGCAGAAGTTGACTTGTCATCAACCAAAAACCAATCTACCAACCAACCAACTATAGTAAGGTAGTTAGCTAGAAGCAGACATTAACTGGAAGCAGGTGCTAACATGTAATCAACCAAAAACCAACCATGTAAGGTAGTCTGTGGTATCCGTAAGATGGAAGCGGACATTAACTTGTCATCTATCATCCAACCAACCTACCATAGAAAGGTAGTCTGTGATATCAGCTAGCCTGAAACTGACCTGTCTTGTAACTTGTCATCTATCAACCAAACAACCCTAGTTGACTTCTATCTTTGTTAGTTTTTTACTGATATTTTCATCCTCATGGTAATTTAACACTCATGACATTACCTTAAACCAATAAAGACTCACAATGACGAATTAAAGGGTGCCATGTAAGACCAACAATGACGAATTGAGCGAGAGCGATATGCCAGGCTCTGTGGGCTTTGGGTCATTAAAACAAGGAGATAAAAAAAAAATACTGCAACAATAACAAGATTGTAATCTAATATTTAATTCATTTTCTACCTTTAGACAATACTTAGCAAATAAATATGATTCCAGCATTCTTCGTTAATTACCATTATCCTAGAAATGCTTTGACATATATATATCCAATACATCGATAACTTGAGGTTCAGAGAACTAGTTACTGAACCATTTGTTTAAGGAGAGTTTGACATTTTATGTTACATTCCAATCAGATGACTTCTATAATTTCGAAGTGATATATGTGAATATATAAAATAACCTTTATTTCTGTCCATTTGTGTAGGTTCAAGTAAACGTCCATTGATTTTGTACTTCATTTTTATTGGCCATTGAAGTCTCAACAAAGTAAAACATATTTACCCAGTTTCTTGTTGTTAAATGTGTAAAACCATCTTTAGAAATACAGTGGGATATTTTTTTGTTGAAAAATCAACTTGAAATACTTTGCAATATGTCAAAGAGATAATACTTTGAAGAATAATTATTTTTCCCCCAAATGAGACACTTTTCAACTTTCTTGTCAAGGATAAATTGATCTGGTTGAATGTCATGATGACCTATATAATAGTGGCGGGTGTCACACTCAAAGCAGACCATGTTTACTCTTTTTTAAACACCTGATGGATTGACAAAATTTTCTTCCTTGTGTACAATATTACATAGTAATACCAAAACGGAATTTGTACAGATGAAAAAAATTATGACCTAGTTTTGAAGGTTTACTAGATAACTACTTTTGGTCATATATCTTTCAAATAAAATGAAAAACCCAAACAATTCATGTTCTTTCGATATTTTCTTTATACTCTGAACCCATTGGATTAACTAACTTGACAAAAAAATTTGGTGTCAAAAGGTTGCAGACTGTTTATCATTTAGTTTGTGTGATAACAAGTCATAACTCAATAGCTATAGTTGAGCAAATATATTAATGCACATCTGGGCTCATTCAACATTAACAAGAGCAGGTTATGTTGAT